CAAGATATCATTAGCAGGGAAAATATAGCAGCAACAGCTGCATAAATATTGCCAGAATTCATCTTGAAATATTGTATATTTAACTATAAAATGTATACGAGATCCGGAAAAAATGAAAAAAATCTAAGAATATTATGTATATTTCTAAGATGTTTATGAAAGTAATGGAGCAAAATGAAGAATTTATAGAGCAGATTTTACTAAAATTCCGCGTTACGGCAACTGCCATGCATGTACGTGACTAATTCTGCTGTCTTTTTTTGAATAAAGATTAGTCTTGTTTTTTAGCGACGAAAGGTACACATTTCTACTGCGAACTATTCTTCCTCGTTCTACTTATGTTTCTGACTTTTGGTTGGTATAACGAAATTGCAAAATTTAATCCATCTCTAACTATCTAAACTTTTAGACGAGAAGGCTCTCCATTAAACATGGTAAATAAATATTCAAATTTCATATAGTTTCACGCACTTTATTGAAGAAAATTTCACGTATCAAGCATTTCAAGAAAAATAAACGTGAATCAAACATAGACAACTTGTTAATTTTATGACATAAAATATAAATATATATAATCTATAACTTCTATAATAATTTAATTTTTTTCAATTTGACAAGATTTTTGCTTCTACTTCTTGTAGAAAATCTTCATGAAGAAACTAATTTTTAGCCACCTTACTCTAAAAAGTATTTTTAGTTAGACAAAACACTTCTCAAAAAAATTTCCAAACATGACGAAAAGCACATTTTTAGTTACAGAAGCAAATTTTAACTTTTTTAAAATTCATGTCAAATGGATCTATAAGAAGTACTGAAGTAGTTGAGTAAAACTTCTACCCGAATCTTGGAATTATTCAAGTAAATAGATATTTATTATTTATTGGTTCAACATGCATCGAGGCATATTTTGAAAGGTTGCTCTAAGCAAACTAATCAACTCACCCTTAATGTCAAGGGGCAACCTCGGGCTTTTCGTTTGGTCAATAAATTAATAATTAATTAATTCCATCAATTTTAGAGGGAGTTTGGTAAAAATTAAAATTAGATTTTAATAGAAGTTTTTGAAATGTTTGGTTGAAAAGTTATGAGACCCATGAAAGATGTGATTAATATTGATTGTTTGACTTTGACTCAAATTAAAATCTGACTCAAATAGGACATTAATCTTATCACGTTTTAACCTGTATATCTAATTACTGAATTAGTCGCTAATCTTATGAATGATTAGACAAAAGTTTGAGAAATAAATTAGATTAGGCATTAAGGAACGTTGATTTTGTGGGTTTTTGTCGTATGACACGTTTGGTCATGAATTCTTAATAGTTTTGTTATTCATTTTTAAAAACGAAATTTATATCTCAGTGGATTCTGAAAAGCTACAATAGTTTGGACGTAGAAATTCCATATCCACCAATAATAATGTTTTCTTACTTCAACTCGAAAATCTGACACACCCGTAAAGTGATAAGAATGTTATTGTCTCAAATGTCTTTATTACTAATAAATTCTTATTATTTATGATAAAGATGATTTGCTTAAAAATATTTAGCCCCTCGTTTTGGTCTCATTAATTTTGATTATAATGGGAGGAATATTATTTTTTTTTATATATATAAAAAAAATGAATGGTTATAAAAAAAATGAAAATTTTTCGATTTACATGTAATATTATTCTATTGAAGATTGTGTGATTGAAAATAGGAAAGAGAAAATTTTAATTTGATGAGATGAATGGGCCCAAACTGGAGGTAATAATCATGTTATAAGTACTGGAAATGGTAATAGAAAATTTTGACAGACAAAACATAATATGAAACCATTAAAAGATAAAAAAAAAAATAAAAGATAAAGATGAATAAGTTCCACCACATTAGTATCTGTATGAATTCGATAAGAAATTTCCTATACTTGAGTCTTTTTTTTTTTTTTTTTTCAAAAATTAAAGTAACAGTCTCTACTAAAGAATCTTGAAAAATGTGCACGAAGAGCACGTCTAAATGTGACAAATAAAGTTTAACATTCAAACTTGTCGGATGATTTTTTTATAATTTACTATAGTAAACTAATACAACTAATTAGTAAAGGTTTGTAGAACTAAAACCTCTAATTTGTGTTGACACATAAAAATTCAGCCCAAGTCGAACAGTCCAAGGAGTAAAGCCCAATTGGAGAATCCCCAAAACAGACAGCCCAAAGAATGAAGTTCAATCAAACGAGTCAAGGTGAAGGCCCAAACAAGAGGCCCAAGAATGCGGTAATGCCATCGCCCAAGTTTGCAAGTCGCTCAGAATCTGAACGAACGGGTGTCATACGGTCGCCCAGAGCTGTTATTCTACTCTCGCCCAAACCTTCAAGTCGCCTAAGGTGTCAACAAACATAACGCATCGTAATTATCAAGGAATGCAGTTATCAAGGCAGTTGTTAAAGCAGCCTTATCACGTTCCACAACTCAAGGAAGTCAATCGAAGGCAGTTGGACGATGAAAGATAATGACAGCAGTTAAAAGACGGTTTTATGACAAAATGGCCACTACAAAGAAAGTGGGTAGTTATAGGACGATCAAGCAGTTTTCAGAGTAGTTAATCACAAAGAGATCGTCTATGAGGTATAAAATGGAGAAAAGGCGTAGAAGCAAAGGACCGAATCCAAAACTCTCGAACAAGAGAATATGTAATTTTCATTTCTTTAGACTTAAACACTTTCCTTTCTGTAACTCGTGTGCTTGCGCCCCTTGGAGGCACGTTGTTTTTCGTTTCCAATTGTAAAGTTCATCACCAATAAAAGAACACCCCTTTTTGGGACTTTATCTCAAGAGGTTTCGTCCCTTACACAATCGTCTGATCCCCTTTAATTGTTAGCGAGTTAA